ACCTCTCTTCCCCCTCCCAAATTCTCTCTCCCAAAAATCCCCTTTCTCCTACATCCCCACAAACAATCTCCATCTCAATCTCCCTCTCCCTCCCCCCTCCAACTTCCCCTCCCCCTCACCCCCAAATTCCCTCCCCAATTCCTCCAAACCCTCCCTCTTCCTCCCCACCACCACCAATCTCCCTCCCAACTCCCCAAACCTCTTCGCTATCGCCTTTCCAATCCCACGCGACGCACCTGTTACCAGTATCGTTTTATTTTTAAACGGGTATTCTTTTTCTCTCTTTGCTTTTCCATCTCCATCTCCTTCTTCATCTCCCTTTCCTCTATCTCCCTTTCCTTTTAAATTTTCCAACCCCCCATCCCCATCCCCACCCAACCTCGAAGACGAAGAAGAAGAAAAAGAGACCCCCCTCGACACAGCCAACGCCACACCCCCTCTCCCCCTCATCCCAAATCCCCTTCCTTTGCCAAAGCCTGAGCCAAAGCCAAAGCCACAGCTCCCTAGCATTCTCCGCTGCACACCACTCATACCCATACCTAAACACACCCGCATCCTATCCTATCCTATCCTATCCTATTCTCCTCTCCTCCAAATTAACAATATCAAGTTACTCGTCGAATGACAGCCCTACGGTAGGTATATATATACCCACACAATTCCTTCCCCTCAGAGCACACAATATCTCGTATCCCGTATCCAATACCGTCCCCTCAACTCTCAAATCCCAACTCTCAAATCAATTCCAAACCCTCAAACTCTCAACCCTCAAATTATGGTACCGCCTGGTAGATATAATACAGTATAATATAACACACTAAAATAAGCTGTATCAGTTAATAGCCAACTACAATTGACTCACAATAAAGGTTTCAAAAAAGGAAACAATGAGTTCACGAATCCACCAAAAAATGAAAGATGTATGGTGCGTGTCACGTGTTGTTGTTGTTGGCGTGTCATTCAAAGAAAGATATGGCAAAATTACTTGCTTCACGCATTGGTTTCGTGCGGGGGGAATCTATGCTCATGGTGATGAAGTTGGTACTAGTATCAAAGTATATCACATCACATCACATATCATGAGTTGGAATTTGCGTGTACCTATGCCTTGTAGCCAGGATTTATTCGCTCAGAGTCAGCAGCCAGATAGATACTTTGAAATCACCACACCATAAATCACATATCACACAAATAAAACCATTATTCTCAGAATGATTGTCACAATTACGAGTATCTATTCGTTGATCTCTAAAGCAAGCTTTGTACGCCATTGTGCAACCTTTGCTTGGAATAGCCAAACAAAATGCCCTCGAAGAAAAATGTCAAAAATGTTCATGTCTCATATCCTCTCATTTAACCGTTGAACTCCTTAACCTTGCTCTCTGCAAGACGTCCTGGAACAAGAGCCAAAGGAACAATACCACTGACGTGCATATCTGGTCCGTAAACGTGCATATCAAGCTTCAATTCCTGTCCAACTGCCTTAATGTTCTTCAAACCTTCTTGGTAGTTAGGTCCAGCACGTCTGACCCAGATTTGAACTTTGTGCTCAATCAGTAAGCTGCTGAATTCTCTAATGGCGCGAATAACACCCTTGAATGTAGAAGCGACGTTGGTGAAGTTGGCAATACCACCACCGATGAAGAGAACTTTGCCTTCTGGGGTAATTGGTGCACGGAGCATGAGGTCGAGAACAGTACGAGCGTAGTGGAAAGTTTGAGTTTCTGTTGGTGCACCAGAGTATTCACCATAGTTGGCAAGCTCATCAGCAAATCCAGAACTGGCAATAGCATCGGCATAAACGACGGAAGCACCACCACCAGCAACGAGAGTCCAGACTCTGCCATTGGCGTTCAAAACTGTAAGCTTAAGGGAAGCACCAGTCTTTGCGTCAAGTTCAGCAATGTAAGCTTCCTCCTTGGTCAACTCACGACCGAAAGGAGCTGGGAACTCCATTGGTGGACCAGCATCGATGTTAACTTTTCCATCAGCTGCCTTGATGGCAGTCATACCAAGAGCGGCAGGTGAGCGTGCGACAGCCCATTTTACACCACACTCAAACTCGGCAGTTTGATCGATCTTAGCGGCCAAATCCAGGAAGTGAACCTCGGCAGAAGTACCCTCAGCGTTAGGGATAACAACCAATGGGTTGATCTCAAGGTATGTAAATTGGCAGTCGACGTAGACAGCGTACAGTCTAGTGATGAAGTCGACGAGAACGTTGTGTACACCTTGTGGAACCTTCTTAAGAAGACCTGCAGCAATTTCTTCGTTTGAAGGATATTCGGCGAGATCGACTGGGATCAATAATTTCTCGGCCTTTGCATCGACATCACCAACATCGACACCTCCCTCGTGTGTGAAAAGAATCCAATCACCCTAGTGGACAATAATGTTAGCGCGTGGACATATAATATGTGAGCATAGATTATGCTATGAAAATTGTGCGAAAAGTGCAAGAAGTATAAATGGCGTAGACGGCGTCTACCGTCTATTCCCAATATAAATGCTGGACTAAAACTCGCTTGCTTTTAAGATTTGACAAGGAGAGCTGTGGACCGGGGGATGGGTTGGCAATCGGTTCCTTAGCTTCCTTTCGTCCGTTTGTGCTTCCGAACCCATGGGTAAACACAAAGTAACAAAAGGCCGATGTATCCCTCTGCAAATGTTGACTTTTCGACATTCGCTTTGATATATCGATTTATTTTTTGCTAAGAAAACTTTCGAAACCAGAGTTCATTCCCATGAAATCCACAAAAATGTATTTAGAAATAAAAAAGATAGCACATACCTCTCTTTGGGAGTTGATGTTGATATAATATTCGGTCCCGTCTGGATGTGGTACAAATGGCTCTACCAAAAACTGACGGAGAACTCCAACGGTAGTCTCAACTGTGACTGGCTTTCCTGCTCTCTCAGCGATCCATGCCTTTGCTTCCGGCCATGTCTTGTTCAAAGCGAGAAGACCACTCTTGCCTCGTCTCTTGATCAATTGATCAGGCTTTGCGACGAACTTGGAACCTGGGACGAGGAGCCATGGGTATGAGGTTTCTGCTTGGTCGAGAATTGCTGAGACCTCAGCATCCAAGGGGAAGTATAGGGAAGCGAGCTTCGAAGGAGGGTTGTGAGTGGTAGATTTTGGGAGAGGAGATGGCTTGATGACGGCAGCTCTGGTGAGGTGGTAGTTGAGGATTGCCTTTCCGTCGGCCTCGAGGATTGATTTGGCAGACATATTGAAATATGAAGATTGGTAAGATTACTGTTCAAATACCGAATTAGCACAAGATGTCCTGGGAATTCTGATGGCTTGGATCTGATAGGAGATTTCAAGGACTCCAGACAATCGCCGAGAAGTGCTTAACAACTCTCGACAGCAAATGTAAGCCCCGATATCCCAAAACGTCGAGCACACCCCACCGCAATTGGAGGAACAACCAATTTTCTCAACACCTTGCAGATTATGCCAACTCACAACACTGAATGACGGTGAGATTCTCGACTTTCAATGAATGGAGTCGGTGAGAAGTTTCAATCGCTCTGTCCCCCAATAAAAACGAAACAGAAAGTGGTGGTCTGATAGCGATGCGAAGCGACACAACACCAAGTAAAGACGAGAGAGGAGGGGGGAAAAGTAAGAATATACATACCAAAGGGGTATTCTTTAATGGAACGCAAAAAGGGTCAAATAAGTAGACCAAAAAAGATTTCAATTGTTTGTGGAAAGGAATGAAAATGATATCGAAAGAATGGAATCTATATTCTATCTTTCTCTTTTGCGGGGGTGGGTGGGAATATGGAAAATGAATCGGAGTTTCTAATCTCTTGAGAAGGAAATAGAAATTCTAGGAGGGAGGGGGAAAAAGAACAAGCTGAATGAATGGTGAATAGTTCGACTGGGTAGGTAAGGTAAGGTAGGTAATAAGAGCAGCGAATACGGAGACCGATGGAATGGAAGGGTAGGAAGGGTACTTTTGGCTGAGTCTGGGTGAAATAAGTTGCTGGTGTTATGCCACTCGTATGGTGTATAGTCATTGGTCAGTCACTGATGGTTCCGAATGAAGTTCCCTTGAATGGACGGGGGTCCCGTTATTGACTTGTGGTTGATAAACTAGAGGTTTGACATTTTCCCCTGTAGTTATGGGACAACTATCAAATTTGGTTGTCGTTGGGACGCTAATATACAAGGATTGAAATCTGATTGGCTCTCAACCATCGGAACATACTCAACGCCGACATATTTTTGATAATGTTAAAATGGGAAAAGGCTCGGAAGGGAATAGGAAGGAACCACTAGAATCACTAGAACCTGGGATCTAAGAAAGGGAAGTCCTCGACAAAAATTGATTGTCAAGTTTATTACAACTTTACTAACACATATCACACTCCGGTCCGAGCTCAAGTATTTCCCCCCCCCTCTCTCTTCTCAGCCAACCCTCAGCCAATCCACATCTCCTCACTCCAAATATCGGCTCTCAGCTATCAACGAAGAGGACGAATAGAGACGAAAGGAATTCTTTGAGACTTCTGACTCTGTGTCTATTCAAGACCCCCCCCTTCCTCCCTCTCTATCTCTTTCCATTCCATCCAAACCAAAATATACCCTTCATAGCATTAAACAAAGTACTTCTTCAAAAAAGTATTTCCTTGTTTTGTTCTTACAACTTCATACTACTTTTACTTCTTCTTACCTTAGAATAACGGAATAAAAGGTTTCTTACGTTTTTGTTTACGTACGGATTCCTCATCTCTCTTTTATTCATTTAAAACTCCACACCGTCGAATAATAAACTTGGTGGAAGAAAGATCCCTTGAAACTCTCTATCTAGGTAAGCTCAAATTCAACTGATTTATTCTACCCGATTTTCTACTATTATTTCTCTTTCTCCTTCTGCTTCCTCCGTATACGGACTTCCCCAAACTTTTGATTCTTTCCCTCCGTTCAGCCCATCACACCACCTTCGCTATTTCCTTATTGGGCCATATAGAAGATTTCTTCAATTGACTAACAATTTACCCTTTCGCACTTTCAGATTTTTGATTACTTCCTCTTTTCACGATGCCTTCCGCTACAGAATCTGGTGCTCAAGGCAATGCCAACGACAACATCCGCAGATTTGCTGCTCCTTCCAGACCTTTGAGCCCTCGAGCTGAACATACCCTTTTCCACGACAAGACAAGATGTTTCGTCTACGGTCTGCAACCAAGAGCTGTTCAGGGTATGCTCGATTTCGACTTCATCTGCAAGAGAAAGACTCCTTCGGTTGCAGGTATTATTTACACATTCGGTGGACAATTCGTTAGCAAGATGTACTGGGGAACCAGCGAAACTTTGCTTCCAGTTTACCAAGATGTTGGAAAGGCTATGTCTAAGCACGAGGATGTTGATACTGTTGTCAACTTTGCTTCATCGCGAAGTGTCTACCAATCCACTATGGAACTTTTGGAATACCCACAAATTAAGTCAATTGCCATCATTGCTGAGGGTGTACCTGAGAGAGTAAGTTTGTCTGCTTCAAATTATCTTGGTCGTGTGCTCATACATAATTTAGCGTGCCCGTGAAATTCTTCATGCAGCAGCAAAGAAGGGTGTCACAATTATTGGTCCAGCTACTGTCGGTGGTATCAAGCCAGGATCTTTCAAGATTGGTAACACTGGTGGTATGATGGACAACATTGTTGCATCCAAGCTTTACCGAAAGGGTTCCGTTGGTTACGTCTCCAAATCTGGTGGTATGTCCAACGAGCTCAACAACATTATCGCCAACACAACCGATGGTGTCTACGAGGGTGTTGCCATTGGTGGTGACAGATACCCAAGCACAACCTTCATCGATCATATTCTCAGATACCAAGCCGATCCAGAATGTAAGATTTTGGTTCTGTTAGGAGAAGTTGGTGGTGTCGAGGAATACAGAGTTATCGAGGCCGTCAAGAACGGAATCATCACAAAGCCAATTGTCGCATGGGCCATTGGTACTTGCGCTAGCATGTTCAAGACCGAGGTACAATTCGGACACGCTGGATCATTTGCCAACTCTCAACTTGAGACTGCTGCTATCAAGAACCAGACCATGAAGGAGGCTGGTTTCCACGTCCCAGATACTTTCGAGGATCTGCCAGCAGTTCTCGCCTCTGTTTACGAGAAGCTCGTCAAGGATGGATCCATCGTACCACAACCTGAGCCAATCGTACCAAAGATCCCAATTGATTACTCGTGGGCTCAAGAACTTGGTCTTATCCGAAAACCTGCCGCATTCATCTCCACCATTTCCGATGACCGTGGACAAGAACTTTTGTATGCTGGTATGCCAATTTCTGATGTCTTCAAGGAGGATATCGGAATTGGTGGTGTCATGTCTCTTCTGTGGTTCCGTCGTCGTCTCCCAGATTACGCCAGCAAGTTCCTCGAGATGGTTCTCATGCTTACCGCCGATCACGGTCCAGCTGTTTCTGGTGCCATGAACACTATCATTACCACCAGAGCCGGAAAGGATCTCATCTCCGCCCTCGTTTCTGGGCTTTTGACCATTGGATCCAGATTCGGTGGTGCTCTTGACGGTGCCGCTGAGGAATTCTCCAAGGCCTTCGATAAGGGTCTTTCCCCACGTGATTTCGTCGACACCATGAGAAAGCAAAACAAGCTTATCCCAGGTATCGGCCACAAGGTCAAGTCAAGAAACAACCCAGATCTCCGTGTCGAGCTCGTAAAGGAGTTCGTCAAGAAGCGTTTCCCAAGCTGCAAGATGCTCGACTATGCTTTGGCTGTAGAGTCCGTCACCACCTCCAAGAAAGACAACTTGATCTTGAACGTTGATGGTGCTGTTGCCGTCTGCTTTGTTGATTTGATGCGCAACTGCGGCGCTTTCAGCTCCGAGGAGGCTGAAGATTACATGAAGATGGGTGTATTGAACGGTCTCTTCGTTCTCGGACGTTCCATTGGTTTGATTGCTCATTACCTCGATCAAAAGAGATTGCGCACTGGTCTCTACAGACATCCTTGGGATGATATTACCTATCTCTTGCCATCTTTGACTTCGGGTGCGCCGGGCAGTGAAGGTCGTGTTGAAGTACAGATGTAAGGTGGGGCTAAGCAAGGACGATTTTGTAAACGCAAACGCAAACGCAACGGGTGGAAGTTATAGAGCATGCTTCTACTTCTTACAGGGATTTTTTCTGGTCCAATATGCTGGATGGAGTTATTAAGATCAATCATGTAGTAGATGAAGAATTGCTATAGAGCAAGATTTTTTAATGGAAATGAAATTAAAACGACAAACATTCATTTCATTCATGTTTAGATTTGTGAGTGGGTGTGATTATGGTGTTTCTATTGTTGTGAGCGAGATTGATTGTTCTTTCGGCTTCTTGTTTGTGATGAAGCGAAAGCTGCGAAGAGAGCAGGAAATATACTTCAAACTGTAGCCAAGTAGAAGTAGACAGCTGCTATCCGATCCGTATGATCCGTCTATAACTCAAATTTCCTATCCATATCTCTCTCCATGTCAACCAGATCCCGTGTATCGTGCGAAAAAGCAAGCAAATCCAGACGCCTAACCGTATCCTATGCGCAACCGCCCATTTATTCATATATGTCCTGTCTTCAGAAGATCCTTGCATATCGCATCGTATCGTATCATATCATATCGCATCGTACATTCCGTCCACTCCGTATCCGTCATTTTCTCTTTCCCATCTCTTAATTTCGAGTATTCTCTCCATTCAACAGTTCGCACGTTCGCTGGTTCGCACTCTCCGCTTTCCCTAATTATGCATGTAATAATTTCACTCTACTCATCAGAGTAGCTCGCACAGCCGCAAGCTTATAATTTAAACCACATCCCCACCAATAATCCCCTTGGCCCCCATCAATTCATCCACATATGCTCGTTCCACGGCCTTGTTTTTCTTTGCTTCTTCTTTGAGAAGAACGGCTAGGATTTCGATTGGGGGGTTGAGACCAAGTTTTGAGGCCCGGTGCCAGCGTTGGGTGCGGGGGATACCGATTGCTGGCTATTGGGGGTTAGTCTCTCTTTGTTTTGTGGAATGATTTGTTGTTTTGGGATAGGAATTGGGGGTGGGATACAGAGGATGGGGAAGATAAAGATAAAGTGTGAGGGCTATGGGCAGATGGATAAGCGGAAATAATTGAAATACATACACCAAATTGACTCATACAATCCCATTCCCTCAATACCTTCTCACTTATCTCCAAATGACGTTGGTGTACCCGCGGCGACAATCGAAGTTCTTCGCGTCCTTTCCAGTATTTGCGGATCTTGGCATCGGTTATTTTGAGGGCGAGTTGTATCTGTTGTTCCTGTTCTGCGGTCTTGGGGCGGGGTTGTTGCGCAATGGTGGGTTTGGGGGTTGTGGTTGGTGAGGCGATTGGGGATGCGGTTTCTGTGGACGAAGGAGGGGAGGGTTTGGAGGGAAGAGATGAGAGATCGGTAAGGTTGGTTAAAGAACTCTTGGGTTTGAGAGTGGAGGAAGGGGTGCTGGCTTTGGTTATCTTTGAGGAATTGCTGAAGGAGAGGGTTTTTTGAGTGCCTTTTTGGGCGGGGCCGAAGCCGCTGCTGCGGCGAGTGGTGGGCATGGTTGTTGTTTTGTTGGTTGGGGTAAGTTTGTGAGGTTGTGGTGGTTATTGATGTGATTGAGGTGTGGTAGTATGATGATGACGATCCGAGAAATCTGGGCAAGTTGGGACAGTTTGGCAGGGCAACAAGATGGATCAGATTGGATTAACTGGGGAAGATATAAGCGAGGAGATGATATTTCACTAGTGCAAATTAGTCGTATGGTCCGAGCGCCCATGAAAGGTCCCTGGTTTTGTTGGGAGCTGAGGGAGGCAAGTTATGCATGAAGATCTACTGTAATAAAAGCTTATTCTTTTTACACTATTGCCAATTTTACAGAGCGATGTTAATCCACTACGATAGTCCGTTCTCGAAGTGATATCGATTCACCAAGAATGGGAAAGACGGAACCAAGTGAATTCTTCTACTGAGTATAGAATTGCGAGATTGTTGATGAAGATTGGGAGTCCAATCTTCAAAAGTCGTTGGAAAGTTCTGCTATTCTAAAGTATCGGTCAGGGTTTGCTTTTAGCAGGAATCAAAGGTCGTTGTGCTTGGATCGTAAATAGCTTCATTATTACTGCGGCGAGGGAGCACATTTGATGTTATCAGGCGGCTGATGGGTTGCATAACATCAGTTGCCTGGAGTGGCAGCAACGAAAGATTGTGTATTTTTGACATGGTGGATTCTGTCAATAGGGGCTAGCAATTATCCCAATACCTTTCAGGGAAGCTTCGTTGTCACATTGCATTTCCAGATTTTGCAACAATATACCAGATCAAACACAACCAGCTTTCTATCATTTCAAGACAGACACCCGGGCCACTAGCCATCTTCACTTTGTCAACATGGTTCTATATGTATATCTGGAAGAAAGCGAGAGAATAACGAAGGCGTAGAGCATGAATCGTCGACACATGGGAGCTGAGATCGAAGCATGCGGGACGGGAACCCGAGTAAAGACGGGAGGAAAGAAATAGGTAACTGGATTTTATCGATACTTCCAATCTTTTTTTTTCAAAGACTTGGTGTCAACTAAGCTTCCGAGTCTGGTGCAGTTACGTGTATTGTACGAGTAGAGAGACTGCCAGCGCAAACGAGAATACACTATCCAATCCTGCTGAAGATGCTGTCGGACGGCATGTTCGTACTATGCTAGTAAAGATCTATTGGCGAAGATCCCTCTCAATCCTCCTGACATATTGGCATCTCATTTCTCTCTCGGTATCGCTCATAGCCTCCATTTACCCCCTTCCTATCTCTTTTACACCCAGATCTCGCCTTCTTGAATTTAATGTAGCGTTTGCACATCATAGGACACTATTTCCTCTGCACGCTTCAACTACTCATCTCAAAGCTTGGATATGGTAATTTCATGAGTCTCGCAAAACATCACTTTTCTTTATTGCTTGGAGGGTACTTATTCGTTAGAGGGTATCGGCACTATTAAGGAGCTTCCTGGCCATTCATACACGGAATGAGTGATGATGGATCTCGACAGTAACGAAGGAGAAATCTATAGTGTATGGAGAAATGCTATAAATAAGACTCGGCTTTAGCGTGGGAGAAAAGAGGAGAAAGGGGGAAGCCTAAATGCTCGGAACTGCTGTAAGTACTGATATCTGGTTGAAACACCGAAATAGAAATGAGAAGAAGTAATGGAAAGCAAGCGGTTGATTAGAATTTGGAAGAAAGAAATAAGTTCGATAGAGAAACAATTACCCTTCGTAGCACTATTGATCAATCTGAGTCTCTCATAACTTTACCCTTTCTGCTCTTTCCCCCTACTTTGATATACTATGCCCATTTGTACTCCTTACTCCATACTCCTCACTCCTCACTCCTCACTCCATACATACTCAATACTCAATACTCAATACTCCCACAATATCACCACCCACACCACACCACACCACACCAAACACCACACACTCCAAAAGCTCCAGCTTGAGTTTAAATAAGCACAAAAATAAATATAAAGATAAAGATAAACAATAATCCTCATTATAAAACAGACCTAACCTAACCTAACCTAACCTACTACATATTACCAAAGCCCATTCAATTCTTCCTTCCTTCCTTCCTTCCTCAACAACCCATAAATTTTCTTTCCCCAACTCTTTTTCTTCCAATGAGATGAGACAAGACGAGAGGAGACAAGACAAGACGACACAATGAGAATGAGAATGAGAATTATGATATAGATATAGATATAAATATGAATATAAGCTACTAGGTATCCAAGACTCTCCTATATTGGATCATCAAACCCATCAATCATCTATCCATCCATCCATCCATCCATCCATGTTTTTTTCCATATTAAACTAAAGAAAAAAATATGACTCCACGAACTTTATGTTCGATTTTCAATTTTCAATTTTCAATATAGGCCGTTAGCTCATCTCAATTTTCTCAACTTAAACAATCCTTCGCGTTTGTTCTGTGATATTTTCCAGCGAAACACCTATTCCAAAAGGCAAAAGAGAGAAAGAAAAATAGGGAAAAAATAGGTACCTGGTGGGTAGGTAATCGATGAATCAATAATTGCCGAACAGGAAGTATCAAGCAGTTTCTCCATCCTTTCTTCCAGTCATAATTCCGTTCGTGTGAGAAGTGAAGATGAGGAAAGTACCAAAGAGACAAGACAAAACACCAAAGAGAATTAAAAAGAAATAACTGGGAAAGGGAAAAGAAAGGAAAGAGAAGGAAAAAGAGAAGGAAACCCCTAGATACTTAAAACCCCTGAGGGGCAGGAACATCAAGTAACTGCAATTCCTCCAAATACCCCTGTTCCTCTTGCATATTGCGAATAAAGACCTCCTCCCCCACCTCCCCCCACCACCCTCTCTCCACCACCTCTTTCTTCCTCTGCCAGATCTCACTCGCGACCCCCTTCACCTGTCCAAAGGCTCGCCCAGCACTAGGCCACACTTGCCATAGCGTTTTTAACGCCCCGGTATTCAATTTTAATTGTTGCTTGAGATCGTCGTCGTTGAGTAACGGGTATAGAACGGACCAGCATGATAAATGGACAACGGAGGCGAGGGTTACCACGCAGGTGAAGAAATGCGTGTGGCGAATCAAGGGGATGGGTAGAGTAATGAGTTTGGAGATGGATTGGGCGGCCGTGATGGTTTTGGAGGCGTGGAGATTGTAGTTTGAGCCGGGGGTGATGGGGTGGTGGGGGGCGCAGGAGGTTATTGGGGTGGTTATGCTGCTGTCTAGTTCGGAGAGTTCGCGGTGGAGGACGATGGTTGTGCTGAAGGGGGTGGGAGTTAGTATATCTGTGGATGTGTTTGAGGGTGCGGAGGTGGTGTTAGGAAAGGGGGAAGAGAAAGGGGGAACACACGCTTCGGTGATCATGTTTGCTTGGAAAAGCATTTCGTCGAGCTTGCCATCACTACTGATGAGTTGTCTTTTGTTCTCTGGGAGATGTAAACGGAAGTTTACAAGGTATGCATCAAGACGATCAACGGCGGGGCTGTCGGGATGAGGATTGATTTGACGTCCACTAAGTAGTCGACCTAGGTTTCGGATCGCAGAGATACGATAGGTGAAAGAGGAGTAGTTAAAATCACGGTGTTCAAAATCTTCGTCGTCAAAGTCTGCAAGGAAATGACAGGCTGGGATGTTCTAGTTCTTGTTAGTATGATGATTTTTAGAGCTGGGTATGACGAAAAGTTCTCGTGTGTGAATTTGGGCACACTTACTCCACTGATATATTCGTACTCTTCACATGGAAGTCCAACTTCTGCGGGTATATCTTTCATGGGGAAAAAACTCTTTTGGTGAACGCCAGCGATCATTCCATCTACCACGAAAATTTCCCACCACGTACGACGCCAGCTCTCTTCCAATTTAGACCAGCCATTACCATGTATATTAGCAAAATCCCTCTCCTTCATCCCCAGTTGTAGCGCCAATGCTTGAGTATCGTTGAGAATATGTAAGGCCTTCTCTTGATATGTGTAACCATCAAGTCCAATACAAAGGATCAGCATAGCTTGGACCTTGAATGCATCTTGGGGACAATCCGTCTCATAGATTGCTCGTTCGGCTTCAAGACATAGTGCCGTGGTAGGTGCTTGATCGATGTAGAATGAACCCACATATCTCATAGCAGCTTCTAAATGCTCGAGGTTTTTTCTCTCCTTCAACACTTTGAGCAAATCATCTCTTGGGAGAAGGAAAGGGTGTGCGGGCCAAAAATGATAGAAGAATGCTTCGATGCATTTTTGCCGAAGATCTAATCCGCTGTATTGTGGTTTATTAACATCTAAAACCGTTTGATCTCTATTGATACCATAAGACGGGGGATCTGCCGGTCCGAACGGTAGCGTCTGCAGTCTATTGTCGGGAGGTGTAGCTAATCCACTGGGAATGTTGCCCGGATTACCGGTGGTGTTGAGGGTTGTCGATGATGCCCCTGGTCGGACTAGTGGGCAAGCTCGGGGATTGTTCGATTGAGATGTCGACACCGCCGTCTTATTTTGAGCTCCATTACGTCTAGGACCTTTGAAGCCTCGTCGACTTCTCACGTAGATGCAGTCATATTCATTAGTAGAGCATCTGGAACATGGACTGAGCCCATCACATTTGAGATGTTTAGAGCGACAAGCGACGCATGCTGACGGGACCGTAATCCGATCCTTTTGATGGTCCGGTACTGTCAACTGTCGTTCGCCTTGTTTCTCAGGCACATGATCGGAAGTAGGTGAGAGCGATGAAGCATTACTCGTTGAAGGTGTTTGGGTGGTGGGAGAAATTGAATCCATAGCTCTAGTGGTCAGATTTGATGTGGATGTGGATGAATTGCTCGCCGACCAAAACACATGAGGCACAAAAGTAGAGGTCTGCTGCATTGAAAAAGGTCAATACTGCAACCCTGGTACAGAACGTCGAATGATTGCTGGATATTCTACCCTTGTACTACGATATTTGATAGGAGGATGCTGACTACCGTAGTAAATGTGGTATCTAGCGAGGTCCCCGATGAACCCGAATAGATTGAGTACGAAGCAGCAAGTTTAGTACAAACTCGTATGTTGATGTGCTGACAGCGATATGTTTTGTGTTCAACCAGGTGAAGTGCGAACCTTTATAAAGTCTGGGAGAGACCACGAAAATTGAATCAGCTGTGAACTTGTGAACTGAACTTATGCTGGAAGATGTTGGGAAAAGGGGATGGATCATCCCTCAATATAACGATGAGAACCTATCGATTCCTCGTTCAAACAAGTTGTTATTTCGGCACGCATACGGAGTGGTTCATCCGTTCAATCGATTTTCTATCTGACATACAGTTATTTATGCGTAGATATGCGTAGTTGATGCGTATCTTTTTCATTTACTTCCACTACTGACTGTACTTTGAAGGACAAGAAATCCTATTGGTACAAAGTCCCGAGGAGAACCTTGTAAGTTGGTTAAAATCGCCATGCACGTGACCTCGCTTTCCACATTGATTAACTCGGATTTCCCCTTCATTATCCGCGATTGAAAGGAAATTCGTCTATTCTGCATCTATTCTGCATTCAATCTGCATATAAAAGGTGAAGATTATCACATATGGGAATCTTCAGCACAAGAGAGAGACAGCCTTAAACATGGAGGGTTGCAGTGCAAATTCTGTCTTCTGACACCTGCATCGTTGTGGAGAAGAGCACCAAAAGCGATTGGGCAAGAGTCGCAAAACGCACAAGCATGGCCACATTGAGGCTGGGGTTATTGCAACTCTTCAAGCCGGTAGGTAAATCTTTATCATTTTATGATACGATGGGGTAAATATCTATAACGGTGTTGCAGTCGCAGTCACAGTCACAGTTGATCATTTTGTTGAGATTTCATTCTTCAATAGGTTCTGAAAAGCTTCAGATCCATACACGATATTGAAGAAAACTGCAAGCAGCTGTATTTTTTTTGGCGCTATCTGCGGACTTCACCCAAGCTTTTCTTTGCCCAGCAAATATTTAAGATTTCAACAACATCCTGCTGGAGATGGAAGTGCTTCTACCGTAACTCCTTTACACTTTCCGTTGTTAGACGACCCGGCCCTTTTCGTTCAATCGGTTCCAATTTCAAGGCCATCCGTGCCGTGATTTGGTTTCACTCGCATATCTCGGTAGTACAATCGAATTCCCCGTCACACCATCTCACATATTGCACAGTATGGATCCAATCAGCGCCGTCGGTTTAGCTCTCAGTGTAGCATCCTTGGCTGGTCAAGTGTTTACAGGATGCATTCAAGGTACACGGTTCCCTTGATCTTTCGAATCAACCCATTGGATATTGATGTTGTTATTATCAGGGATTCAATTCATAATCACAGCAAAGAATGTCCCTGAAGAGTCAAAGTACTACAATTTGAGATTGCGGATGGAACAGCAGAGATTGTTTGCATGGAGTGAGACTTCCGGTCTACTAGACCTTGATAATCTGAATAGTCAGAAAATTCGCGAGTCCAATACATTTGTCATCCATCGAACCACCATCCTAGACCTTCTTGTTCAGATCCAATGCTTGTTCAAGGAGTTTGAGAATGCTCAGAGAAAAAACAAGCATCTTAAGGTTGTCCCTGACTTCGTGTCTGACGAAAACTCCATCGACGATCCGGCTAAAGATGCTTCTAATGCTCATGTACCATTGTCCGATTCTAGAAGGAAATTTATAATGAAAGCTATGAAATCGCTCAAGACAAATGCCACGGAACAGATTACCGAGGGGGCGCGGCGTCTCTGGTGGACGGCTTTCGACAAGGAAGCATTTGAGATGCTTCTTCAACGATTTTCCACACTCAATGATAACATGACAGATATCCTTGATACCCGTTTGCAAACTGAGATTCATCGGACAACACAAGACACAAACCGGGGAGTACTGCAACTTCATAAAGACCTTTCCTCTCTTCGCCAATTAGTGATGGCTTTGAATATCAAGATGGATGCTCGAACACACTACACCTCATCAATTCCCCACGAGTACGCGGAAGACAATAGCTCGGGATTGAAACTCTTATCTCAGCTTGCTAAATTCAAGGCGTTCAACGAGTCCATTAACCCCACGTCGGAAAGTTCAACATGGGATGAGGCAATAGGAGAGACCCTCTCATTGGGAAGACCCAACGATGAGAGATTGGGTCTCGAGATCGCCAAGTCAAGCATCAAATTTGTTGCTGAAGGAGCTTCAATAGATGCAAGTGCTATTAGATGCGAAGCTACATATCTCCACGACGGCATTGAAGAGCCGGTGTGGATTGAATGGAAGGAGTATGATTACAGCCCTGGTGCTACCTCTCCGCCTTCCCTTATAGTGGACCGGGTCCAGAAACTTGCTGCACTCCTCCATCATGAGCCGAAACCAGAAGCTTTCCGAGTCCCCCATTGTCTCGGCTATTTCGATAATCTCGTCCCCGAACCTAGTTCTTCACTCTCTAGCGACTCTGAGTCAGAAGATGAACCTCTGGAGACACGCATTGGACTCGTATTCCGGAAACCACATTCCATCAACACCTCGCCTACCTCTCTTATCCAATTGTTCTCGATTTGCCCCAAACCTCGCATCACTGATCGTATAAAATTAGCTCATGCACTTTCGAATTGTTTACTATATCTACATTCAGTGAATTGGCTTCATAAAGGATTTCGCTCGCACAATATAGTGTTCTTTCCAGTTGCACCAAGGAATGGTACGCGTCAAAATGTGAACTGGGACCAAGTATATTTAAGTGGTTTTGACTTCGCTCGACCAGCGAGAAAGGATGAAACGACAGAAATTCCAGGAGACGGCGAGGAGCATAATATGTATAGACATCCCGGTACTCAAAACATTGGATTTGGCCCAAGAGAGAGTAAGTTGTCTCTCAAGATCATAGCGATCGACGATGCTGATCATATCTTTAGGTTACCGAAAAAGCTTCGATATATATAGTTTTGGAGTTGTACTAGTTGAATTGTGTTTCTGGAGATCAATAACCGATATCATGGCCGAGATTGGAAAAAAGTCTCCCAGGGAACGGCCCTCGAAGAGAGCAAAGAATGTGCGAGAAATCCTTATGGGCGAGGACATGCTATCGAAAATTGGAGGAGAAATGGGTGAAGTAGTAGAAGAAGTTGTGAGGAGATGTATCGTGGGCGGTAAAGAACTAGGAGTGGAAGGCGGGGAGGATGAGATGGGCGATGAGAGAGTGGCCTCAAAATTAGGAATGAGGTTCTTCGAAAGCGTAGTCAAAAAGCTAGGCGATGTCAAAGTCTGAGACATGTACGTACCTTGAAGTATCAATACATAAGAAGGCAACAAAGGAACAAAGATACCCCACAACTTCCAAGCCCCGGTCACTTACTGATGAAACATTTCAAAACAGCACATGTCGTGCTCGCAAAAACATATTCATCTATATTATGTTAACCGGTCGGCTGCAGTTTCCAAGCACATACTGTTACATACAATATATCTGGTAAATGCATGTGCAAACTGTAACCCAAAGACCCCAAACATCACCAATCCCAGATCCAAATTGGGGTCACAAGATTGCTGCATTTAAAATTTACCGTCATAGACGCCAATCTCATACCCATACCCATACCCATATCCATATCCATATCCAAACCCATATCCGTAAATCATCCCGTCCATGTTACCACCCTATATTACCACCGCCATAATATGTATGATGTATGATGTATGTCAGCATTGGGGTTCTACAACGTTTTGGACTAACTGGATATTCTCTGCTTATACTTACTTACCGGTATATCTCAGTGGAAATATAGTAATTCGGTAATTCCTCAACGTTGATAATGTATGTATTCAGCCCAAAAGCCCCAAATAGTTGCGCTGAAGATCTGATGTCGTTGGGTGTGTGTTGCATTGAATGGTATGGCTTGGCTTGGCTTGGTAGGTTTGGTATTCTGTTACAGATATACTATGCACGCACGGCTCATCATGATCACAGGTGCTGGGAGTGGTGGTGTTGATCTGGGTCTTATATGGATATGGATATGAATAGTATGTACGGAGTATGTAAATCAGTAAGTCTACCCAATTTCAAACCGCCATCGCAGTCATCGATATTGCAGCTGTTGCGCCACGGAGTGGATGGATATGGGGAGTTTATTACAGCAGATACTACAGTATCTATACTCCAACTTCCTACTCGACATCATCTCAAATATACTGTAGTATATATTCTTCCATTATATATTCTTACATTACATATTTAGCACAGATCATCTACGACTAGTACGTACGGAATCAGAAGAATTCGTAAGCGAGGTAGGTCACAACATGAGGATTTCGTACCTGGCTTGGTTGGGTCAGACTGGGCTGGGCTGGACTGGCTCCTGGGCTTGAGATGAGGCGAGGCGAGCGGATTATATTGCGAGTCGGACTCGTATGATTTGGGGTTGTACGGCATATGGTATGTACGTAGATACCTATCTATACTGTACATGCAAATGCAAATGATATTCATGTCGGATATCGATCTTGAATGATGAATTTCAGGTTTGGAGTATTTATTTCATGGCTTGTCTTGTATCTATTTATTGTATATATCTGCAGTTCTATCGTATGAAGAATAATCGAAATACATATAGGTATACCAACATGTCTAATAACAACCAACCACCTAGCACTCAACAACTCGACCATATATACAATCACAACATCATATCATGATCATCCATCCCATCAGCCAATCTACTGTACCTCCGTCTTCTATTGTATTGTTCCTATTATTCCTATTATTCATATTATTCATCGACTATCTAATCTCCTCACCCATCACATCACACAACTATCTCCATCTCCATCTCGGAAGAAAATGTACCATATCCCTAAGATTTATGACCCATACATATGTATACCACAAACTTAGCTTATCTTAGCTGAGATAGGTACTCATATATCGTACGTGCAACACTGTAGGCGCAGTCAAAACGAGGTGTTAATTCGATGTAACCTGTGTTAACTTATTTGTGTGATAGGTAATCTGTGTAACGTAACGATACTCGAACCGGATAGTTCCGGGTTGTGTTTCTTGATTATGTTTGATTATGTTGTGTTTCTTGGTTATATTGTGGACGAATCTGAGGTATGAGGTATGTGTGTGTGTATAGGCTGAATAATTGGGGGTCTGTGTGAATGGGTGTGAATGGGGCTGTGGGATGAGCATAGGAAGGGAAGAGATGATGATGGCTTGAGAGCGCTGTAACGTCTGGCTGGACGGGATGATAAGGGCTTGAGGGTACTGTAACGTCTGGCTGAATGGGGGTTGGAAATTGGATAAATGACCATTACACTGACTGCAGCATGTGGTAAGTTCCTAGTTAGTGTATATAGCCTAGGCTATTTTGAATTTCCAATACATACCACTGGACTCAATATGTATTGAGGTCTTTTGAAATTCAAATTAAGATGGGATGTTCAATATATACAAAGCCTCATATATCCCCCCAACTCCAGAAATATATACACAATACAAAATAAGCACACTGATCACCATCCTCGAGTCTTTGAACCCAGGTAAGGATATCCCTTATAAACAATCCCTCCGATATATGTATGTACAACACTGTGTACGGAGCACGCCTGATCACCACACTCTCCAAAACTGCCACTACCCGTCCCGTCTTTCTGGTACTCCTCCATCCCAAATAAGCAACATGTCCCAGCCCCGGACGTTCCAAATCCAGAAATCCGTTCCCGTCTATCATACGACATTTTTAACGTCTGAAATACAAGGCGCCCAAGCCCAAAATTCTGTATCCAACAATAATCGCAATTAAAATGCCTACCCATTCACCGGTCTTGCCGGTCTTGTATCCACTGCCAATAATTAGTAGGGTCTAGAATGTGTTTGTAAGAAAATCGACTTACTATTGATCCAAAACTCCTTTTCCGCTTATCTTGCATTCTGCTGCGAGATCGGTGATGTACATGCATTGACAAGAATTTCCGCATGTATAATCTCTTTCACCGAATTCATTGACCATCATTCCTTGGAAGACATATGTCTTGACGTGCGTTAGCATTACTCTTGTCTCATGACCACGAGTGGTACAGAAGTGATATGAAAGGGAATTTCAAGAGTACAAAACATACCTGATAATCAATATAATGAAAGACATATCTCCAGAATACATTTAGAATATGCGGAGGCACTAAAAAGCCGCCCACACTCATCCAGAGTCCATTTGCAAAAGCAGTAAGAGCAAGGGATATCACAAAGGAGGGAAAGAGAGAAGATATAAGAACGACAAGGGATTCGGCGGCGAGGAGATCGAGAAAGAGCCACATTATCCAGGTGAAGAAGGCAGAGGCGGTGGGCCGGAAATTGTTGAGGAAATAGGTTGTTACTGAGAAGAGGAAAGTTATGAGGACTGTAGATAATGTTAGTTGGGTTCGGCAAGAAAGCACAGTGAGAAGACAAACATAAATATGGTAAACCGATGATGAAGTTCGAGATCATAAATGCTGTAGGTCCATAGAGACCATTTGCTCGCTCCTTGATAAACGTAGAACGATCTTCAAGAAAAGAGGGAACATATGCGACAGCCATAAATGACATGAATGCCGACCCGAAGAACTAAAATTTGTCAGTCATATAAAGTGGTCCATCTCGGGCCGTCGGAACACTTACGATAGCGTTAATGAAAGGTTGAATGTCACTCTGATCTGTTTTAAGACGAAGCCAAACTGTACCCATCATGATAGCAAGCCCCATATACATCGCAATACGAATTCCATATGCGACCACATCTCGATAGCTCTTAATGAAAGCTCTATGCACCAATGTCATCAATATATTGAAAAAGCTACCACGTGAAGAATGGGTCACAGGTAGAGGCTTAATGTTCTGCAAGGTGTGCTGAATCTTTTCGTGCATTTGCCGACACGAGAACGAATCCAACCAAGATTCCTGAATTTGGAGGAGTCTTGTTTGTGCTTGTGCTTGATTGGCTGCAAAATCAGTGTTCATGAGATCGAGAAGGTATTCTGAGGCGTTCATGTGAAGTGGGATTGGATATCCTATGAATTCGAAATGTTGGTTGACTTCTGAGACTGGGCCAAAATAATGCGATTTTCCAGCGGATAATAGTAACAATTTATCGAAAAGCTGGAAAGTGGAAGTGGAAGGTTGATGTATGCTTGCTATAACAATTAACTAAAAAAGAAGTCAATATTACTCCTCCCAGTGCATAGAGGAGGTGATGGCTAACGTTATTTCTTTTCGCGACCTCCTTCACAAAAGACATGACCTCCCAACTCGCTGCAGAATCCAAACCGGATGTTGGTTCATCCAAGAAGAGAAGTTTGGGTCCAGTGATGAGTTGACTTGCAACACTCACTCGTCGTTTCTGACCACCACTGATACCCTTCTGAATTGGGGTCCCAATAATGGTATGCGCCTGATTACGAAGACCGAATGATTCTAATAATCCAGTGACGCGTCTCTTCCGCTCGGTTCTTGTCAATAAACTAGAGAGATCAGCTTGTGACGATATATACAGAGGAATGATGATCGAACTTTTTATGAGCGAGACGAGCTGCAAAATTTAGTGTTTCTCGCACAGTCAGAGAGCCAATAAGGGCATCCTCTTGTTCAACATATGAACTCATGTCTCGGAAAACACTCTTCGAGGGATTTAAACCATTAACCAGCGCTTCTCCTACTACAGTTGCTTTCGCGGCTGCATCTCTGTGGGCAAGAAAATTCAACAGTGTAGTTTTTCCACAACCACTAGGTCCCATCAAAGCACATATCTCTCCTACAATTTCATTAGTGATCCACTCTTAGACAAGCCAAAACCTTTGGATTAACAATACTGACCAGCTTCAACCACGCCACTAACACCATCTAAAATTGCTTTTGGTTGTTTAGTTTTGTTGTCCTTGACAGTGACCGTCACATCCTTCCAGACAAAATTTCGAACAGTAGTATTCTTCAAATGCGTATCATCGACAGCTGATCGTTCGACATCTGTGTTAAACTGAGTACGAGGTTCCATATCATTTTCTTGCTCAGCTTTTCCCGAAACCTGTGAAAGAGTGCTGGTCGCCGTGTCTGTCATGGTGCGATCCAACCAAACGTCGCAAGTGCCTCCGAGTCTCTGAAGAGATATCTTGATCTCGAGTGGCTCAGTATTCTCGAACGTTGAAGCCTTGAATCCCCGAGTCTTTGTTGGATTGTTGTTCCAAGCCTTGCTGGAACCTGTTTTTTTGAAGATCTCGTCGATCTTGACAATGTGGTAGTCGAGGAGAATCGAATGGAGAAGTAAAAGGGTCCGTATTTCGGAACTGATTATGAAATTGACTCAGAGGAGTTTTTGAAACTGTGTTGTGGTACTTCGATTTTTACCAATGACTTTGATTCGACCCTGTGTTTGAAGCGTATTGAGACCTTGCTTCAACGTAGGGTGCACAACCTTTATATTCCATATTTTCTCTTCCGATACTAGTCACCCCACAGTGAATAGTACGTCAGACAAAACACAAAATTAAACTTAGTTAGGTATTGATCAGCCTGTCTTACAACATAAGCCCAAGCATTCCAGCTCTGACACGGTGATACCGTATGATACCGTATGATATCGCAACACAAGGAAACGTCCGAAGTACAGAGGGACCTTAGTATGAATAATACTATAAAGAATTCGCCGATCGGAGAATACAAACCTTAAGTAACACAATCTGCAGGTCCCCGATTACTTTGGGAGCGATTACAAGCGCGAGGCCCGTTGTTAGGTGGTTGAATGTTTTCCTGGGAATTGGGAATGGATAACTAATTCGAGTAGGTAATGTAGGGTGGGGCAAAATAACGATCGTGCATTTCATCCCACGCCTCATTAACTGGTTCCAATCTTCAACATGCTAGGGCTTAGCGAGGTCCCCGAAAAGAACTAAAGGTAGTAAGCTACTACCGTACCATTGACTACCAAGATACTTCGCCGACACGGCATTTATTTGAATTAAGTACCAACATAGAAAAATGGAGTACTCAGTATAGGTACATGGAAGGTCAACAATAACTCTAGGAAACTGACAAATCTGGAACGAAGAAACGTTAGAGCGATCCCCTAGATCCAATACATTGAATTCCAAGTAACGAACGAACAGTTGTATTGAATAAGTCATAAGATCAGTTGAGTTGCCCCATTTGATGCTTACAGTCCTCATGCAATCATCGCGGTCTGGATAATTGTTTGTACTACGGGTATATCATGGAAAGGCACACGATAGAGCAACGTGAGACTCCCTGCAACCACAACGTTTATCGTACCGGTGGCTAAATGAACGATATGCAATGTCGCCGATCAGATAAATTTCCAAATCAACGGCGGTCAACGGCGGAAAACGGGTTAGTATCCAAACTTCCAAAGTTTGTAGATGATGCAGCAGTTCAAATGTTGGCTCTTCATCCTTGCATCCCCCGAAGACCCGGTTTCCAGACCCCATGAGTCATGACAGATTCCATACCACTGATACCAGGAATTTTGAGTCCCCTTTGATCAGCTTCCGAGAGACTCCTCGGGGATCATAATCTCTGCTGACTCTTGAGAATTCTCATCTTCTCAACATCCTCCTCTCCGTATACCGCCATTGGATACTGCTTCTGCCCGTCATAATCAAGCTAAACAAACCTCAAGACTCTCAAAAGCCGCATTGGTCTTGTCGATCGCAGCATAAGCTGCATCGGTAAACTTAGATCGCCCAAAGCTCCAAGTCAAGTCACATAGATCTGGAAGAGCATCCATTGCCTTTGTTTCGATCCACACCCAGGAATGCTTTATCAGCTGCTACCGGATGTAGGTTTCAATGGAAGGAACCACACAGGGCCCGTAGTGTCTTGAAAGGCTTCAAGTGTCTATCAGAGATATTCACAGGCCCGTACTGTTCGACACTGTTCGAAAAGGTCGCCATGAATAAAAGATGCCTAAAATTCAAAGTCGAGGCACTACCAACAAGCTCAACAGTCAACGAGCTCACATTTGTGATTCACATCGTGCTAGATATCAGATCTTGATTCGCCAATAAGTAAGAATAAATGACTTCTGCCTCGATTGGTGAGATCCATCTCTCACCCAGGATGATTCGTGCGCCAGATGCTTGTTAATAGGTCCATATGCTGAGAAAATTGGCTTTCGGATCATCAGCTATGTGGATTGTGAAATTGGAGTTGAAATCGATTCGGGCTTTCGCTGTGCTAGCTGATAGGCCATAGTTCCTCTTCATATCTTATCGAAAGGGAATGCCTCCAGGGCATGAAGAGTGACGAAATCAAAAGTATCACTCGCCTTCAGTCCGACGAAGGAAGTCAAAAGCATTACCTGCCTCCAGTCCGATGAAAATATCTGATTCGTAGTGACACTGGTATCTACATTAACAACTGAGCCATTGCCAGTTACAAGCTCGATATTTGTAACGGACGGAATCCGCTACGAACCCCTTTTGAGGTGCAAACTATGAGTAGCCACCTACAGTCAGATGGTGTAAGTTGTATGGACGTTTCGTGTTTCGCTCGAAGGATGACCTACCTTCACCCACTAATCCGCTGATGCCAACCAGAGAGGCCCGGCACTAGGAACCATCATGTCATTGGAGTCCAGATGCTCATGAACCTGTTTCCACTTCAATCCTGCGCCAATATGTGCGACGAAATTATTATTTGCTGATATAGTATTAAGCTTGGTCAATTCGATGGCAACACCATGATTGGTCGACGCCGCTTGAGCAAATGGTATAGAAACTCATCTTTCATTGAGAACTGACACTGCCGGCGAGTAAGAATCTTCACCACCGCAGCAACATATTCTCCGTCGTCGGTTGTAGAGACAGGCGATATATCATCGCGTGCTTGACCTAACCAGAAACCATAAAAGGTAGCATTATAAGCTATGCTTTTCAGAAAAGCTCTAATGTCGTATTCCAACCGATTCAAAAACAGCACAGCATGATCATCCAATCCATTCTCCAGCCAAAGCCATCGACGGGTTCAACTTGCGCATTCACTCGAACAAGCTGTCTTAATGAGACGCAAACTCATCGTGATCAACAACACACTTCTTCAAAGCAACATTTTCCTAGAAGTCGATACACTGTTGCGAAAGCCATAATCATGGAATGCCTATCTTTATGAGCATCAATTGCAATATGCCAGATATATCGACAAATGCTATCCTCAACATGCCCGACTTCGGGTCCATGGTTTCAATATTGTTTACCGGCCATCGTACTTACAGGAGATAACGAATGATGAGTATCTTCGGCCTTGCTCCTCATCAGTGCAACTACCGGTAATCTTCAAAAACTGTACCTGAGATTTGCGATTGTCGTCGAATTGCTGATACTTGAATAGATTGTGCTTGCATCATATCATATCTTATCTTTTGCCGATTTCAACATTTGGTCTACAAGTATCAAACAATAAGATAGATAAAATACAAACTATAAATAAATAAAATAAAGATTAAAATAAATTTCAGTCTCTCTATATTTCATTAATGATAAATAGATAATAAAAATTGTTTATTTATCTCTCGCTCTGTACTCGAATAAAGAATTAAATTTCCACATGATCAATGCGCTAACCTCAATCCGGAAGAAATACCGACAGAATCACTAGGCGGTGATAACATCCTCCTCAAACTCAAACCCAAGCTTCACCTCACCAGGACTGCACATCTCGCCATGAACAAAAAGAAACTCACCGGGACAATTTCATCGACTCATAGTGCACCTGGAATTGATTTAATCAAATCAAATCAAATCAAATCAATCCAATCCAAAACACGATTCCCAACCTGCCAATAGCAAATTATCAATTCATAAAACAAACATGTAAAAGTTAATCATACAATATATACCAATGTCAACCTTGGGATCATCTGTATACATGCATGTGCTACATTACAGTACTATATTCGTGGAAGTCGTGTGGGGTGTGTACCGACCATACCTATGCATGATAGCAATGGGAAAGGAAAAGAGCTAGCTATATCGAGTCAATGTTGAATGTAATGTCACTCCTAGCTGGTATCATACTGTAAACGCATGCCATGCGATCCTTACTTAGGTACTGAGTAGCCATTGTATCATTTCATACTCATTCAAACCCCTTCAATGAGAAAAGTCGTTACTTTTAATTCATGTTCATCCATCCCTCCATACCACAGCAAGCAGATAATCTGCTGTCCCACGAATCAAGAGGTAACTATCTGCATATCTTGAACCCCCTTCAGAAGTTTCTAATGTAGGATAAAAAAGATATTCATATACGTCCTCTTATATCATCCGAGAACTCCTACTATCTCTGCTTTCTTAGAAATGAAATGTAGGAAATCGTTTCTCGTTACGTGAATCATCTAAACGACTTCAGTGATCTTAGCCTTGGACTCCTCTCCGGCTTTCTCCTCCACAGCTTCCTCCTCTCCTTCAAGTGCTGGCATATCCTCATCATCCTCATCGTCATCTCCCTCGTCATCATCACCACCCATTCCTCCCATTCCATCCATTCCTGCTCCGCCAAGTTTCGAGAAATCGATACCGCCGAAGTCACCACCTGCACCTCCCATCATGTCACCCATACCTGGCATTCCGCCTAAAGTATCATGCATTAGCTTACTGTCAAACCTTATATTTTGGGGGAAAATAGACTTACCCATACCACCACCCATACCACCCATACCACCATCCATACCGCCCATCTGGCTCAAATCTTCCTCAGGTGCCTCATCTTGCTCATCCTCATCAACCCACTTATCAAAGTCTGTCTTGAGGAAATGGACCTTTTTAGAATCCTTTAATAGTCTTGGCCAGAACTCCTCCTTCAACTCTGTCTTTCTTAAGACAAATTGAGTGTTCTTTTGGGTGTGGTTGTATTTGCTGGCACTCTCATCAATCTCAGCGTAGAATTCCAAGGTAAGTGCATAGGCACGCTTGAGAGACTCAGAGTAGCCAGAGAATGTGAGGGATTGGGACTTGAGTTCGATCTTAGGTTCTTTGACATCTGGGACGCTGATGGTTAAGTAGATGAAATTCTTTTCGGCATCGGTCTTGTGAGATCTTTGAGCCCAGAGAACTGTATTTTGTAAATGATTAGTGAAATGTCTAGATATTGAATGTGTAGAGTGATTTGGAATGAGTAGAGCACTAAACGGCCCTTGCTTATGAATTTGTTGGAATCAGCGCACAGTGCCCCTCCTTGAAAAAGTAATGTGGGACGCAACTGGTCGAGCTTCGAACAAATAGCCACAAAGAAAACATGGTCGACCAGTATTTGTTTGTTTCAAGTGGCTCAAACTTAAAGCAAGAGTTGAAGTAACAGTAACTTAACAAAAAAGCTAGCAGAGAAGCTTTGTAACTTCCAAGTTGCCGCATTCGGTATGAAAAGGAGCGTAATTACCTTCTGGGGTTGCAGTAGTTCCAGACATTGTAAATTTAAAGGTTCGTACGAAAGTTGAATGGGAATGGTTATTGTTCGTGCAATAAATTGAATTGGTGGGTATCAAGCAAAAGGTTGGTAATGTTGTTGTTGATGTAGATGTAGAAGTGAGAAATTATCAGAAGGGGGATGAAGAAAGGGTTTGGCGAACTTTCTATTCGTTGCTTGCGTTGTGGCAGACAAACGAGGCTGGAGTTGGATGGTATGGAAGCTGCGAGAACATTGGGGAAAGTGCATCTTGATTTATACCAAAAATAGATATTTTGGTTACATTATTTGTAGTATGTATTTTGAAGAGAATACATGATATACCGTATATATATATTCTATTTGCTTACAATTAATTCATTCAAAATCTTTTCTATATCACATTTTGAACTTCAAATTGAGGTCTTTATGAATTAAGAATTTAATTAAATTGAGAAATTCCGAAGTTTCTTCCCAAGAACTTCGACCCCACGTTGTGCGGCTCCAATAAAAACTAACGTCACTAACAAGAACTGAGCTGATAATCTGATTGAGCTTGGGCCTAAAATAGCTAAATAATCACTTTGGTACAATGAATTACAACAAATAGACAAACCCTCGACCGACCCAGACCAGAACAATTAATCCAATAACAATCGAATAACTTAAAACCCCTTATCTAAAAAGTTCATCATCAAATCTACAAATCTGCGAGTACACCGTAGTCCAAAGCCCATTATGGAATCCATAAGAGCCGTATTCTTCAAGCCCGATCCCCAAATCCAAGTGCGTAACCCCAATTCCATTCATTCCCCTTCCCCCT